ATTACCTCGCACCAATAGCAGAAACCCAAACAGATTCCCATTCGCTCTAAATACAGCAATTACAACTATCTATCACCAATCCTTTGTTCAAAAATACCTACGTATTCTTCGTAATGGCGTCAGTGACCTCTACCTCCTACGAAACATTGGCAGCTCTGCTGCTTTTCCAATACATAAATGATTAGTTCTTTTTTCTGCGTTTTTAGCTAACTTTCACTCATCATTTAACATTAGGTAAAATTGTACAATTTATTATTTGTAATGCTAATAATGAACTGTACTATTTTATCTATTGTTAAACTTTAAATAAAGGTTTATAATATATATATATATATATATATATATATATATATATATATATATATGTATATATATATATATATATATATATATATATATATATATATATATATATATATATATATATATATATATATATATATATATATATATATATATATATATATATATATATATATATCCACTGTGCCCCAACTTCCCTACTTGTTAATTAAAGAAAGTTTCGAAATTTTTTGTATATAATATATAATTGTATATAATATATATATACAACTTCATTTTGTATGTATACATTTTATCTATTTTAAAGATGACCAACAAAGCATTTTTAGTAAATAAAGAGTTTTTCAAAAAATTTAGAAATTTTCTTTGATTACAAGGTTATTCATTTTTATATGCGCGTCTATTCATTTTTATATACGCCTTTATTCATTCTTATATGCGCATTTATTCATTTTTACATGCGCCTTTATTCATTCTTATATGCGCATTTATTCATTTTTATATGCGCCTTTATTCATTTTTATATGCGCTTTTATTCATTTTTATATGCGTTTCACAAAAGCTATTGTAAAAAAGCAATTTGAACAAAAAAATATCATTTAAGCAATTTGTTTTGAAAAAACAGTTTATTTTTTCAAAACAAATTATTCTTATTTCCAGGTAAACGAGGTTAAAAATACTTAAAACGAAGACTTTTTACATTCGACGATGGTTTATTTAATTTAGTATTAGTTCTTTGTTTTCGATGGTAGTTTATTTAATTTATTATTAGTTCTTTGTAAATTTAATATTATATTTCTTGATTGATTAAGTTATTATTTATCTAATTATTCATTTATCTAGATTTAAATTTAATTGTTTATAATTATTATAAATATCAAATTATACACCCCTATGGATGGAATAAAAAAAGCAGTACCAATCGTAAAACAAGGGAAAAAGTTACAAAAGAGCACATTGAAATGCTTAAGCATTTAGTTGGAAGAAATCAATCTACAACAAGCATTTTCACTTTTCTTAACTTATCGAAGCGTGCACTTCAAAATTTTGTCGTTAAGTTAAACAGAGGGTAATTCGACGATATGACTGCATTCAAGTCGTTTTCTATGAGCGTTTGAGTTTTCTTGAAATAGCAGAAAATGTTAAAACTTGCTGTAGAATAATATTTTTTTATTGCTTCTTGCAAGCAAAGATTGTTTTCTTGTACGTATAATTCGATAATATTTTTTATTTGAGAGTTTATAGGTCGCTTACCTCGTTTTTTATCAGAAAACGACTTGAATGCAGTCATGTCGTCGAATTCTCCTATGTTTAACTTAACGACAAGATTTTAAACTGTGCGCTTCGATAAATTAAGAGAAGTGAAAATGCTTGTTTTAGATTGATTTCTTCCAAATAAATGCTTAAGCATTTCAATGTGCTCTTTTGTAACTTTTTCCCTTGTTTTACGATTGGTACTGCTATTTTTTATTCCATCCATAGGTCCATAGGGGTGTATAATTTGATATTTATAATAATTATAAACAATTAAATTTAAATCTAGATAAATGAATAATTAGATAAATAATAACTTAATCAATCAAGAAATATAATAATAAATTTACAAAGAACTAATAATAAATTAAATAAACTATCATCGAAAACAAAGAACTAATACTAAATTAAATAAACCATCGTCGAATGTAAAAAGTCTTCGTTTTAAGTATTTTTAACCTCGTTTACCTGAAAATAAGAATAATTTGTTTTGAAAAAATAAACTGTTTTTTCAAAACAAATTGCTTAAATGATTTTTTTTTGTTGTTCAAATTGCTTTTTTACAATTGCTTTTGTAAAACGCATATAAGAATGAATAAAGGCGCATATAAAAATGAATAAATGCGCATATAAAAATGAATAAAGGCCCCGACGGGCATTTGTTTTTAAAAGTTACGTTCTAAATGTGTTTTAAACGTATTTTAAACGTCTTTTAAACATAAATGTTTAAAAGACGTTTAAAAGACATTTAAAATACATTTAGATCGTAACTTTTAAAAACAAATGCCCGTCGGGGCGCATATAAGAATGAATAAAGGCGCATATAAAAATGAATAAATGCGCATATAAGAATGAATAAAGGCGCATATAAAAATGAATAAATGCGCATATAAGAATGAATAAAGGCGCATATAAAAATGAATAGACGCGCATATAAAAATGAATAACCCTGTAAGCATTTAGTTGAAAGAAATCAATCTACAACAAGCATTTCCACTTCTCTTAATTTATCGAAGCGCACAGTTCAAAATCTTGTCGTTAAGTTAAACAGAGGAGAATTCGACGAAATGACTGCATTCAAGTCGTCTTCTGATAAAAAACGAAGTGAAAGACCTATAAACGCTCAAATTAAAAATATTAACGAATTATGCGTACAAGAAAACAATCTTTGCACGCAAGAAGCAATAAAAGAAAATCTTTCTGCAGCAGGCTTCAACATGTCTCAGCCTACTATTTCAAGAAAACTCAAACGCTCGGATTTATCAAGAAAACGTGTTGTGCATGTGCCAGAAGAACGAAATTCAACACGAATTATTAATGCACGTTATGCATTTGCAAGCGAAATTAACAGAATTTCAGATGAAAAACTTATTTATTTGGATGAAACTGGATTTAATTTGCACACTAACAGCACATATGGTAATTCGCTAAGAGGTGCGCCAGCAATTTTACAGTTGCCTGCAAATCGTGGCAAGAATGTTAGTTTAATTTGTGCTGTTTCAACAATGGGAGTGCTTGCTTATGAAATAAAAACTGGAGGCTGGAATGCAGATTCATTTTGTACTTTCATAACTACAATGATGGCAACAGCGATTAGGAATGCAAATGTGGAAGCGCCGGTGCTTGTTATGGACAATTGTAAATTCCACTGGAGTCTTTCTGTTAGGCAAACACTAGCCTCTCATGGTATAGCTATTAAGTATCTGCCAGCTTACACGCCACAGCTTAATCCAATAGAAGAATTTTTTCTTCTTTAAAACATACTTACAAACAGGGAGAAAGGCCTCGAAATACGGATGAGGTAATCAGGAAACTTAAAAATATTATGGATACTACAGAGTTTAATATAGTTCCATTTTACAACCATATGCATAGTTATATAAATCAAGCGCTGGCTCGGCAACCATTTCTTAAATAAATAACAATGAAAACAACCTAATTTATATTTTAAATATGTCTATATAAAAATTTAAAAGCGTATTTATCGTTTATATTAAATTATATTAGAGATTTTATATGCGATTGACGCATATACAAACATAGCGATGTATAATTTGATATTAATAATAATTATAAATAAGTAAATTTAAATCGAGATAAATGAATAATTAGATAAATAATAACTTAATCAATCAAGAAATTTAATAATAAAATTACAAAGAACTAATACTAAATTAAATAAACCATCGTCGAATTTAAAAAGTCTTCGTTTTAAGTATTTTTAACCTCGTTTACCTGGAAATAAGAAAAGTTTGTTTTGAAAAAATAAACTATTTTTTTAAAACAAATTGCTTAAATGATTTTTTTTTTTTTGTTCAAATTGCTTTTTTACAATTGCTTTTGTAAAACGCATCTAAGAATGAATAAAGGCGCATATAAAAATGAATAAAGGTGCATATAAAAATGAATAAATGCGCATATAAAAATGAATAAAGGCGCATATAAAAATGAATAATTGCGCATATAAGAATGAATAAAGGCGCATATAAAAATGAATAAATGCGCATATAAGAATGAATAACCCTGTAACAAGTAGGGTAAGTAGGAGCACGGTGGATCGGATTTCTTTATTTTTTAAATTAAGCAAAAGTTAAAATATGAATTTAATTTTTTTCAATGCACAAAGATTGAGATATATGTCTTTAATGATAATAAATCACTTAAACCCAAATATTTATAATCTAACGGCTCACAGAAGGGCTCACTGTAGCACAGTGAATCGATAAACTTAGCTGTGATTTAATGATTGTGAATAGGGGCATAGCCAAATAACTGTGAGGCTAAAGGAGTAAAGACACTGTACACTATAGTTTTGGCATACTTTTATTAATTAGATTAGTGAAAAATCAAAAAAAAAGAATTTTATTGATAACAAAACTTATAAAAGTATTGAAAAGTTAAAAAATTATTCAAATATTATTATTCAAAACTTAAAACTAATAAATTCATTTTTATGTCGCTTGTTTGTTAAAAATGCATGAATTTAATCTTTAAGATCATTAATTGGGCATAGTGAATCAACCTATTCACTGTGCCCCTCCATAACAGATTAAGTTAAGGTCTAATTTCTTAGTTGTTAAAAGAAAAGCGAAACTACTAAAAGGAAGCATAAATATCAATAATCCGAGTGAAAAACTTTTAAAATTAAAGCAACCATGATCTTCATAACTAACATATTGAGTGAAAATTTACTTTAGTTAGCTAAACACAAAAATTACCTACAAAAAGCCGGTAGGTAAAAAATTTGTGGTAACAACTATAAATAAAGATGGCTGATAAATGAGCACATAAAATGATTACAAGATTGTCAAGATGAACAAAAATTTAATCTTTGAGAAAATGCCTCTTATTCACTGTGTCCCTTGATCCACTTTACCCCAACCTCCCCTAATATTTAATAATGTATTATTTTTTTACTATCTATAAATATAATTTTTCATTAGATGCTGGTGTATGACAACGTGGAATAAACTGTGTTTTAAACTAGAAAATGTTTTGAACCTTTTTTTTGAAAAACTTGGTTATATTGTATACAATAATAAAAACAAGTTCATTGCCGTTAGCCTTGTTTTATCATTAGCATTAACTACCGGATTTTTCAACTTTAAAACTGTTCACAGAGTAGAAGAGTTATATATTCCACAAAAAAGTCAATCTTTAATTGACTTAAATAGAGCAAATAGTCATTTTAAATTAAAAGTTGCGACTGAAGAGTTTATTATAAAAAATAAAATACAAGAGTGGGCTTTTACAAAGGAAATTTTTGAAGCTGTTTTAGAAGTTCATGAAGGCGTTATGTCAATAGGAGGTTTAGAAAAGATATGCATAAAAAATTACAATGGAGTATGTTTTTCCCATAATCCATTAGAGATTTTTCAGTTTAATAAATCTTTGCTTTTAAATATAAATGAGACCTTAGATGCTGTTTACAAAAGCAAGAATTTTTTACTTAGTAATGGTGCTTTAGCAAGTTCTTCATTTTCAGACTTTTTTGCATATTTTTTTTTTAACCAGACAATTCGCAAAATTACAAGAGCGGAAGCTGTTAGAGTAGTGTACTTTGTTAGATACCCTGAAAGCAGTAATGATTATATTGAGAATTCTGCTTGGGAAACAGAATATGGAAAGTATATAACAAAAATGCAAAAAAAACTAAGCCAGAGAGGGTTATTGTTATTATATACATCAGGAAAAAGTCTTGACGATAGTGTCTCTGATTCTTCACTTGGGGATATCAAACTCGTGTCTTTATCATTTTTTTCAATGATTGTGTTTTGCACTTTAACGTTGTCAAAGTTTCGAAACTCAATAGTTGGACATTTTTGGATTGGAAATTTTGGCGTGTTTACTCTTATATTAGGAATTGGAGCAGCGTTTGGATTAGTTATGCTCATTGGATTTCCTTATGTTGCATTTGTTGGAGTATTACCCTTTTTGATTATTGGAGTTGGAATTGACAATATATTCATAATATTGGATTGCTTAGATCGCCAAGATCCAAGCCTAAGAGGCTCTCAGCGAGTCTCTAAAACAATGGGACAAATAGGAGCGTCTATAACAATGACTACGCTCACCGATCTTGTTGCATTTGGTATCTCCATGGTAACGGAGTTTCCTGCCATTAAATACTTTTGCATGTACGCAGCATTTAGCATTACAATCTGTTTTATATTGGTAACCACTTTATTTTTGGCTGTATTAACTTATGAAGTTCAAAGGATTGAAAACGGTCGTCAGGATTTCTTAATTTGTCGTGTAAAAAAAAATATTTCAAGAAATGAGAGTCAGCAGTCCATTTCAACAAAGGTAAAAAAAGTCTATATTTACCTAATTTTTTATAAACTATAATTTTATGCTGTTTTGCTATTTTAATCTTTAGTTAATGGAAAAGATTGCAATAAACCTTATGAAAACATCTGTTAAATGGATTGTATTTGCTATTTCAATTTTGTTAGCCGGGGTTGGTGTATACGGATCATTAAATATTGATCAAAGTTTTGATATTCTTGATCTGGGTTTAAAAGGATCTCCATTTGTGGAATTTTATAGCTTCAGAAATAAAGCATATCCTAATGGATTTGAAATTAGCGTTATATTAGACACACCTGTTAATTACTCTGATCAAAAAATTCAACAGAGTTTTTTAAATGTTGGACGTATTTCCAGAAATAACAAATATTTACTCAGTAAAACAATTAACTGGATGCACAACTTTTTAAAATGGTCTAAAGAACTTAATTATACTGTTCATGGAGCAACGTTTTATTCATATTTACATCTATTTCTTTTGCAACATCAAGAGTTTTATAGAGATTTACAATTTAATACAAATGGTACAATTAAAGCAAGTAGAATGTGGGTATATAGTAATGACAACCCAAATTCTGTTTTTAGAAAAGAAATGATGTTATTTATAAGAGATGAACTTAAAAAAGCTACTAATTTACCTTTTTATTCTGCGCATGTTATGTTTATATACATCGAACAATTTGTAATTGTTTTGCGAGACACCGTTCGGAATTTGGCAATATGCTCTCTATCCATTGTTTTTATTACGTTGCCTTACTTAAAGCAACCTCTTGTTACTTTTTTGGTTTTTTGGAGCTTTATATGCCTTGTATTCGAGCTTTTAGGTTTGATGTATGTTTGGGATGTTTCACTTAATTCGATATCAATGATTATTATTGTCATGGCAATTGGATTTGCTGTAGATTATTCAGCACACGTGGCTCACTCATTTATTATATCAAAATGTAACACCCCTGAAACGCGAGTAATAGATGCATTAAAAACAATGGGAACAAGTGTTTTTATGGGAGGTAAGCAGTTAAAACTTTTTTATTCTAAACTTGCAATATTTTCTTCTTCATGAAAAAATATATGTAAAGGTGACATCATATACTTTATTTGATTTTAAGAGCATACAATATACGTTAATTAATTTTACGGACACATAATATACTTTAAATTAATTTTAGGGGCTAGCACGTTTGTAGGTGTAATGGCTACAGCGTTTGCATCTAGTGAAATTTTTAAAATATTTTTCAAAATGGTGTTTGGGATTGTATCGCTAGGTTTATTACATGGATTAATTTTTTTACCCGTTTTGCTATCAAGTATGTATGGAATAAAATTTTCTTTTTTGTTCGTGCTTGAAGTGATAACTTAAAAGCGCTAACAATTTTTTTTGTTCTTCTTTTTATTAACTGCAAAAAAAGAATTAATTGAAGAATTGAATTTTTATTTAACAAGTTTAATAAAATACTTGTTTAAAACATAATTTAATCTTTAAAATAATTAGTTATGAATTATTTAAGTTATGTTATATATATAGTATAAATATAAATGTTTAACTTATAAATTAATTTTCCTTTTTAACAGTTTTCTGCCGTAATACCGAAGTTTGTGAAACAATATACAACCAACGAGTGGAGGAACAACATTTTATTCAGGAACAACAAGTGTTTAGTACAGTTAGCAATTCTACAAATATAAAAAGCTTAGATGAAATTGATAAAAAACAAAACGAATAAACTTTTAATTTGAAGCATAAAATTGATATTTCAAAATACATGTTAAGATATCTATTGTCTTTAGTGTGTGTGTGTGTGTGTGCGTGTGTGTGTGTGTTAAGATGCTTTAAGAAGTAAAAAACTTTAATACATAATTATATCACGCATAACATAACAATGGATAAATATGTAGCGTTACATAATGACGGGATTGTGAAAAACTAAAAACCATCTCTTGACTATTTTTCCTTGAATTATTTTTATTGTAAACAAACAATGTAACAACCCTAATAAATATTGGTCTAAATTGAGAAAAATTTGTTTTGTTAGGATTGTATTATTTGACTACACGAGTTTTAAAATAGAATTAATTTACATCAAATTAGAAAAAAGAGGTATTATAATCTAATGTAAGCATTTGCTCTCAATCATGAGATCCGTGGTTCAATGTCAGCTCTAGACATCAATAAGAATAGAGTAGATTTGGTTATACATTATGTCTTTTAATAATTTTGAAAGGGCGATAATTTTTTACAGTTGTACGACCCCATTTCTTAAATACTGTGTTTCTTTTAACTTTTTTGAAAACACGGCTGTTTCACTCAATATAAAAGCGAGCCTGACGTCACAAGAATTTTTGTGTTTTTAGAAAAAAAAATTATTTCCGCATAAAAAGTATAAAAATTTACTAACTTTAAAATAATATAATTTTTTTTCTATAAACGCTTTCATCTTCAAATTAAAAAAGTATAAAAGAACTATCTTTCTTCGTTTAATAAATATTTACATTAGACGAAATAAAAATAAACATTGTTAAAATACTTTAAATGATTTGAGATCACTTTAGTTATTTGGCGATTTTTACAAAAAATCTGTTTTAGGTCAACCTAGGTTTGATAACATAGCTACATGGTTAATGGTTAGAATTTGGAACATTTATCCATGAATGTCTATTCTATCTGATTTTTGGTGATCGTAAATAATTTTTTTGCAAAAATTAGTTTTTAATGCATTTATTTTTTTGTTTTTATAACTTTTATATGTAAAATATAATTTTTTTGTAACGATCACTAAATTAACAAATATTCAATCCATTATGCACACGAAAATCCGAAAGTTGTTATTTATACCTCTAGCTATGTTACCAAATATGTCTTTAAACTCGGCTGATTTACAAGATTTTGTCTATTTTTATGCGTAAATTTTTGTTTACATTTTAAAACAATCACGTGACCTTAAATATTTTACGAGTAAAAAAGTAGCGATTAGCTTTACTGACATAAATATTGCCTATTTCAGTTAAGAATCAAGTTTAAATAAATTTCTTTTTAAATTAAAGTGGTCTTACAATGTGTATATTAAACAATAATTATCTAAAATATACTTTTAAAATTTTTTTTTGATAAAAAGTGACAACAAATTACTAAAATTTAGCCAAGCTCATCATTTGGCGCGTTTTATTTAAAATAGAAGAAAGTTTTAAATCATTCATTTAATGTCATATGGTAAAACATTTTATTGGTGTTTATATTCTTTTTACAGAGCAAAATTATTTCTAATATTTAAAAAATTTAAAAAGTTTTAGTAACACCTATTAAGTGGTAATTAAAAAAAAAAAAACAAGAAGCCGTAAAGCTCACTTAGGAACAGTCGTGAAAACACCCTTGTACAGTGGTCTAAACATTTTATAAAGAATATCTTTTATAACATCGTAAAAATCAATATTTTTCTTTAATACTATCATATCTAGTTACTTTATTTCGTTTTAATCGCTTAAAAACAACTTCAAATTCATAAGTAAACTTATTATAATTTAATGGTGTTTCGAACTCATCAAAAAATTTATCTGTATCGAATACAGTTGCTTAATTTGGTCCTGATAGTTGTGAAAAAGTTGTTTAATTGAAATGAAAAAAAAAAATTAAGCAATAATCTCAAAGTATTTGATTTTTATGCAAAGTTTACAGCTACCTCAGACTTTATATTGTTAAAGTTTTCAAATTGAGATTTAAACTTTATATTGTCATAGCTTTCAAATTGAGGTTCAAACATTATATTGTCGTAGTTTTCAAATCGAGGTTTAAACTTGATATTGTCATAGCTTTCAAATTGAAGTTTTAAATTTTATATTGTCATAGCTTTCAAATTGAGGTTCAAACTTTATATTGTCATAGTTTTCAAATTGAGGTTCAAACTTTGTAACGTCATAGTTTTTAAAAACTGAGAAAATATTTTATGAAATTTAAAATTTGTCTATGAATATAAGTTTAGTTATAAATAGTAAAACAAATATTTTATAAATTCGTTGCTCTCACGTTAAAGGCAGGGGTGGTGGGCAAAAAGTTTAGGGCTTTGTTTGTTCCAAGCTCTGGTCATCTTAATTTTTTGCAAATGACCCTTATTTGACATGAAAATAAACATATAATTATTTGGATGTGCTCCACCTCCGGAGCACATCTCAAACAACAAAAAAACTTGCTACGTCATACAATCAACGTACTTCTATACAACTAGACAACTTTTATTCTTAAAAAGCATTAACTACAAATATAGTTAACACAAACTACAAATATAGGTCAAATAAAGACAGAATAAAAAATAAAACTTAATTTCTTTAAAAGCCTAAATAAATAAAGTTGGTTTTTGTCCCAAAAAAGGGCTTTAAACGATTATTTAACATAGTGTGACTGTTTAACTCTGAAGTTTGCATAGTTTTTTAAAAAAGTTTAAAATACAATCTGTGAGTATTTTTCTGCTACAATAAGTAGATTTGAGACAGCGTGCCCAAACAATTGCATTTAAACACTCATTTACATTTTGCGTTTGTATGGAGGCATTTCTTCGGCAATGAAAATTGGCTTAACTCAAGTGCATAATCAGTAACTGATTTTTGGTGTTTAAGCTGTTTTCCAGACATGGAGCAAATTTTTAATATTTTTATGTTTATACTTATGTCAAATAATGGTGCTTTGCAAAAAATTGCAATCATTGGAGGCTCGGAACAAAAAAAATATATAAATTTCACCCTAAATGCGAGGGACAACAAGTTGATGAAATATTTTATGTACTATTCTCAAATGGACTTATATTCATCAATAAACTTTAAGTTTCATAGGGTTATCTTTCAGCGTTCAAAATTTATGACCACATAAAGTTTGCAACCCCTCAATCTGAGGGGGAAGGGGGTTAAAACTTTATATGGTCATAATTTTTGAAAGAAATTTTAGGAAACTAAAACGTAATGCAAAATACAAAAATATTTCAACATCCAACCCCATAATCGTCAACACCACCAAAAATTCTTCGATCCGTCACTGTTTGCCGATCTTTTTCCAATGCTGTTGAAATAGTTTGTTTTTTTTTCTTTCTTTTTCTTTCTATTTATTTATTTAAATCAATAACTCTTTTTTTTTTACTTCTATTTTCAGTACTTTTTTACTTATTTTCTTTAAGATTTTCGTTTTCTTTTCTTATTTAAAAAAAATTAATTTTTTTTTTCGTGGATTTTATTTTTTGTTTAATTTATTGATTCTTTCTTTTCCCTTTTTATTTTTTCCTCTTTAAAAAATTTATTTCTAACCGTTAGAAAAAAGCGTCCAACCATTTGCGATGTCATTTCAAAGTCTACATATTTAATTATTTTCTGCTCAGGGTATTTTTTGTAATAAAGTGGACAGTAGTTGAAGAAGCTATCCTATACTTTATTTGTACCTAAATAATCAAATCCTAATTTTATTTTCTGCTTTTTAGTCAAAATTCTTCGGCACACGGTTTTACGGCGACGCTATTTCCATAATGATTTTAAATAGCGGTTTGTAATAAGCAAGATGGCAGCGTTTTATTATTCTTCAAGAACTTTGTGTCGTCCTTCGATATTAAATTTATTTTCAAAGTATAATTTGTCAATAAAGCATGTTTCCTATTACAATTCTAATATACCTGATGCTACTTATGGTGGCAGACATACAGTTTCATTAATACCGGCTGATGGAATCGGCCAATCATTAATAATGGGAATTGTAGAGGTTTTCCAGAATTCTGGTGTTCCTGTTGACTTTGAAGAGTGTTATATTACTGGAGATACAAATGAAGAAAAAATGAAATCATTTAATGATATCAAAACGTCAGTATTAAGAAATGGGACCGCTCTGAAAGGAAATTGGGCAACTAGTATGGGAATTGACAGTAAATCATATAATGTTTTACTTCGTCATGATTTGGACCTTTACGCCAACGTTGTCAAATTTAAATCCTACCCAACTGTTATTACTCGTCATAATAATGTAGATTTAATTGTTATCAGAGAAAATACAGAAGGTGAATACACTAATTTAGAGCATGAAAACATACCTGGAGTTATTGAGATGATTAAGATCATTACTAAAAAGAAGTCTGAACGTATTGCTAAATATGCTTTCGACTATGCTATGGAAAACAATCGAAAAAAAGTTACTGCAGTGCATAAAGCTAACATAATGAAGTTGAGTGATGGTTTGTTTTTAAAAGTTTGCAAAGAAGTTGCTGAAGGTTATCCTGAAATTGATTTTAATGATATGATTATTGACAATTGTGCAATGCAAATGGTATCTAAGCCAGAACAGTTTGACGTTATAGTTACACCAAATCTTTATGGAAATGTTTTGTCCAATATTGCAGCTGCATTGGTTGGTGGGCCTGGGTTACCTCATGGTGAGAATCATGGAAATGGTATTCACGTTTTTGAATCAGGAACAAGAAATAGTGGAATGGATATTGCTACAAAGAATATTGCTAATCCAATGAGCATGCTATTTGCAGCAACAGCTTTGCTGCGTCACCTTCAATTATCTAAGCATGCACAACTTATAGAATCTTGCATCCATAAAATAGTGACTACAAATCAAGCACGTACAGTAGATATTGGTGGAAACACCTCTACATCAGAGTTTTTTGAAATTCTTGTGAAAGAAGTTGAAGCGTATAGATACAAAAGAAAAGTACAAATGAAGAAGTAATAGATTTAAACTAGATTATTATTTTCAAATCTGTCTTATTTATTTTTCATGTTTGTTTTACAAAATAATATTTTATAAAAGTATGATTTAAATGGAACTTAATAAACTTATTTTGATAATATGAATGATTAACTATTTTTTCAAATAATTTTAGGTCCTAGTTTCATGGATTTGTATACAAGTTTTTGCGAGCATTGCTGAATTGCTCAAATTTTGATGTATTGGTTTTCAGGCTTGTTAATTTTAGTCCTGAAGTTTCTCAAAGTTCTTTAGTTCATTAATAGTAAATAAGGTCAAGTAAAACATTTAATAGTTCAACATGCGCTTTCTTAATTATACAAATCAAACTCAAATTTTGTAAATTAGCAATTTGTATATGTAAAATATGTAAATTATAAGTTTTTTAAAAAAAAGATAAGAAATCTTTATGTTAAAAGGTATTATTAAATGATTATATTTATGTAGAGTTTGATGTCTAAGTAGAATATGTTTAATTTAAAGTTTGCAGATTTTTTTTATGATTTCCAATAAAAAATTCTTTTTATATGATTTTTATCTGCTGAAAAAATTGCAAGGCCAAGGCCAAAAGTTACTTGGCCTTGGCCTTGTAACGTGTGACATTAGCCTTGCTACTTTTAGCCTTGTTAACAACTCTGATTAAAATATTACTAAAATCTAATATTTTATTTTGCAATTTCAAGTTTTGTTATTAAACCTTTGTATTTTTTAACTTGAAAGTAGGTGAAATAGTGAAAATTCAATGAGTGTAATCAAAAATTTTGACTTTTAATCAAAATATATTCGATATATTGAAAATTAAGTTTCTGGTGAAACTTAATTTTCAATATATCGATTTTTCATATAAGGTTATATCAATGTTACCATATAAAATACTTTGATATAGAAACATTTTCGATGATAGGAATAAATAAAAAAAAGGCAACAGAGAACAAATCAGGCTAAAATAAATGAAATTAAGTTAAAAAATATTAGAAATCTTTTGCAAGTTTTTTTTTTTTCAAAATGTTAAAAGACAAAAAAAAGAAACACCTATTACTTATTTATTGTCGAAAGTATGCAAGAAATGAAGAAAATGTATTACTTTTTTTTTTCGCTCCGAATCTTTTTTAGGTCGTCTTACAATGTTCGGATTTTCTAGTTAAGAAAAAGAAATATATATTTTAAAAAGTATCCTATACAATAAAATCGTCTCAGAATTTACAAAAAAAAAAAAAATCAAAACGAGGATTAGCCATTATTACATTCCATCGTTTTATTTTAGTATGAATATTAGTTTGATATTAATTATTTTATAAACTAAAAGTGATTTTTTCTTAAGTTTTTTTTATTGAAATAAATCAACTAATCACAATATAAATTTATTATAAAATAGTAAAAATTAAAAAAGTTAATAACTAAAATACTGAAATTTAAACAAGTGTTAATTTGTATCAAAAAAAAAAAAAAAATGTGGCCAAAATAAACAAAGCACAAAAATAAAATTAACAAAACTTAATTAAAAAATACTTACAAAGCATTCAAAGAAAAGAATTTTTTCAGCTGGTCCAGATCATTTGTTTTATTTTTTACCAAGGTTGTGGTTTAACCCAGAACAAAAATTTTCTTTGTAAATGAGATCTGGACTATTGGATGATGCTGTAGCCGCCCGAAGACGACGAGTGTGTGTATTAATATCACACTTAGACAGCCGTGTCACTAATAATTTAATTTAAAAGGAGCCAATTGTCTAATTGTGCTTTAAAACTGTTTACTGATTTTGCATTAACCACTTTGCTTTTTTTTTTTTTTTCAAACATCTTCGCTTCCAACAAGGCTGCAAGCAACCACTAATTAGTGTTAGAAATTACTGGAAGAGAAAAGATGAAGATTGTAGAGCAAAATAACGATTGACAGACGACTAAAAAGATTGCAAATTATATGAATCAGGAAAGCAAGATGAAGGAAGCGAATTCCAAAGAACTGATGTTCGAGGAAAAAAACTAGTAAGAGTTTTTGGAGCACTTAGGAACAGTAACAGAAAAAGGATGAGACTTAATTGAATGACGAGTAACACGAGAATGAATTTTAGTAGATGGCACAAGAGACGCTAGCTCTTTAGAGCAGTGCCCATTATAGTATTTGTAGAAAAGAGAAAGAGAAGCAACATTACGACGAAGTGACAGGGGTTGAAGGTTGGCTGCAAGAGCAGGTCCAACTATGTTTACAATGCGTTTTTGCACCTTGTCTAAAAGAGAAAGGGCATCATTAGACGATCCGCCCCAGATATGGCAACAGTATTCCATACAAGGCCGGATTTGAGATTTGTAGAGATAGAGAATAGAATCCAGAGTAAGAAAGTGTCGAGCTCGATAAAGAGAAGCAACTTTTGCAGATGCTAATTTTGCAACGGATTTGATATAAGGTTTCCAAGAAAGATCAGAAGTAAGAGTTAATCCTAGAAGATGAAGGGTAAGAGACTCATCGAGTACATTACCGTTCATAAATATAGGAAGGTCTAAATTATTGCAATAATGACATTAGCCTGAAAAAAAATTGAGTTTTATCTGAATTAAAGTTCACCAGCCACTGTGAGCCCCATGCTGTAGCAGAAGTGAGATCCTTTTCAGGCTCAAATGCCCCCTGCAAGCAATCAGAAGGAGTTGGCTTCTTTTTGTGACAAGAATAAATGGTAGTATCATCAGAAAACAATGCCACCTTAGATGTGAGAATATCTGGAAGATCGTTAATGTAAATTAAAAAGAGTATAGGGCCAAGGATTGAACCTTGAGGAACCCCTGAGGTTACAGAATAAGAAGAAGAGTGCTGTCCATCGAGGACAACTTTTATACTACGGTTAGAAAGGTAGGATTCAATAATCTTAAAGATGTTTCCAGATACACCATAAGAAGAAAGCTTATGGAGAAGACCAGTATGCCAAACTTTATCAAACGCCTTAGAAATGTCAAGAGCGATGGCCTTAACCTCTCCTCCTTTTGATTTGCTATCAATAAAACCTATCGGTTATTATTGATAGCAAATCAGCTGAAGGACGAGAAGATCGAAATCCATATTGATGATCAGAAAGTAGGTTGTGAGATTTTATCTTTGTAGTTTATTCCATGTTTTTGTTATTCTGTTTGTAAAGAATTAGTGTCTTAAGTTGCACATTGTTTTTTCGCGTTCAAACAGTTTAATGTTTGTAAAAAAATTCGTAAAAACCTAAAAAAAATATATTACTCTAATCTAATCACTAAATATAAAAATGACTCAAAACAAATATGGAAAATATTGAAAGAAATAAGGGGAAACAAATAAACCTGTTCAAATTTCCTTCCGAAAATGATTAAAATAAACAATGTATGTGTATATCAACCAAATGAAATAGCGAAAGAATTTAATAAATACTTTACTGATATCGGAAGTAGGCTGGCTGATAGGATTCCTTCTACAAATATTTTCTTTAATGATTTTTTGATAACTTCAAAAAATTTACTTTCTCCCTATAACTTATTCCTAGACTTATCGATTGAAGAGTTTGAAAGAGCCTTCAAATCTTTAAAAATAAACAAAGCAATCGGTGCGGATGGAATAAACGGGAACATTATTATAGTTGGCTATGAAAGTTTGAAAAATATTCTGTTTAAAGTTTTCTAAACATCTATACAACAAGGGGTTTTCCCTGATCTATTAGAAATTGCCAAAGTTATTCCGATTTGTAAAAAAGGAGAAAAATCAAACGTAAATAATTATCGTCCATTTTCTATCCTTCCTACGTTTTCAAAAATATTAGCAAAAATCATCTTCGAAAAGACATACAACTACCTGATTTCAAATAATTTACTTTATAAAAATCAATCCGGCTTTAAAAAAACAGTCCAACTGAACAAGCCATTATTTAGTTTACACGTGAAGTCTCAAATTCTTTTGCTAAATCACAGTATACTCTTGGTGTTTTTGTCAATTTATCAAAAGCTTTTGGTACAATCAATCATGATATCTTACTTAAAAAACTTGAGTTCTACGGAATAACTGGTAAAATGGTCAAATGGTATAAAAGCTACTAGTCAAATAGAAAGCAGTTTGTCTACCACGGAGAAGAATTGCTCCCTATTGATCTTCAAAATTATACATTATTTAAAATAAAATGTGGTGTTCCACAGGGTTTTATCCTTGGTCCACTTCTCTTTTTAGTATACGTTAACGATCTAAATAAGGCCTCGAATCTTTTGATCATCATGTTTGCCGACTATACCAATTTATTTTTATCAAACAAAGACATTAACAAACTTTTTTTAAATATGAATAAAGAACTTAATCAAGTTTCTACTTGATTTAAATGCAATAAATTAACCTTAAATATTGACAAAATAAAGTGGATCCTTTTTCACTCCTCAACAAATAAACGTTTTTTGCCTTATGATTTACCTAAACTTTATATTGATGAAGTAGAAATAAAAAAAGATTCCGCTTTATAATTCCTAGGTATTTATCTTGACAAAAATATGACATGGAAAGCTCATATTGATTATGTATCAAGAAAAGTTGCGAAAAATATTGGAATCCTCTAAAAGGCCAGAAATTATTTAATTAAAAATAATTTAAAACAACTATACTACTCATTTATTCATAGCTATATAAACTATGCAAATATTGCCTGGGGAAGTACAGGTAAAAGTAAGTTGCAACGTCTTTACCGCCATTAGAAACATGCAATGCGAATAATATATTTTTAAATCGTTTTTCAAATACAAAACCTTTATTTAAAGATATAAATGTATTAAACGTTTATGAACTTAACTTGTATAATATTTTATGTTTTACATTTTGCTGTATGAATAATCTTTTATTTCATGTTTTTAAAGATCTATTTACCTTTTGTAGTAAAGAATAAATATAGTTTGCAAAATAATAACTATTTTATTTATTTATTTATTTATTTTTCGTCATTTGACACATTTTACAATGTTATCCTTACATTCAAATAAATTTATACAAATGCAAGCTGACTGGGGCAAGTAGAAGACAAAATGTCTTATCGTCAAGCCCCTTCGTGAAAATAAAACAAAAAATAAAATTTTACAATTTCCAATAATATATAAAAGAGTGAAATTGAAAAAAGTTTAAAAAAACAAATTAAAAAGTTTGCAAAAATCAAAAAAGTTTAAAAAATAATTTTTATGCTTGACGAAACTAAAAAAGCTTGAAAATAATAAAAAATAAAAAAGTTTGAAAAAATAGTTTAAAAATCCGTACATATGCGTATACATATCCGATAAACTTCATAATATATATTTAAATATACAAAAGATATTTTGAATGGAAAAAAATTCTGAACATTTTATTGATTTAAGTTCATCTACTCATTTTTTTTTTTTTAAACAAAATTAAAACAGACAAACAAAAAGAAACAAGAAGAATATATATATGAAGGATATATGTATATATATACATATACACACATACATATACACATACACACACATACACATACATACACACATACATATATATATATATATATATATATATATATATATATATATATATATATATATATATATATATATATATATATATATATATATATATATATATATATATATATATATATACATATATACAAATACACACATACATATATATATATATATATATATATATATATATATATATATATATATATATATATATATATATATATATATATATATATATATATATATACACATATACATACATACACACATATACATATACATACACACATATACATATATATATACTTACATATATGTATATATATATATATATTTATATATATTTATATATATATATATATATATATATATATATATATATACATATACATATATATATATATATATATATATATATATATATATATATATATATATATATATATATATATATATATATATATATATATATATATATATAAACCAAAAGCACGTGTATATTTCGGGCAGTTTTACTAGAGTTTAACACGTGTTATTTGAGGTTTTAAAATGTCGCATGTTTTTATCAGTGGTTTCACATTCCTTACGGAAAGTTATTACAATATAATACTACGTTTCCGTAACGGTGAAACCATTAATACTTTAACTGGTATTAATGGTAAATAGTAATAGTTAATTTCACGGAATAAAAACCATTTTTGATACGTGTTATTCTTTTTGTTTTAGAAGGTTTTAAAAACGCAACAAAAACCAAGCGTAACTATTTTCTGAGTTGTACCGGCTGGGTATATATATATATATATATATATATATATATATATATATATATATATATATATATATATATATATATATATATATATATATATATATATATATATATATATATATATACATACACACACACATACATACATATATACATACATACAACACACACATACATATATACACACATACATACACCCAGCAAACAAAAAGATATCTAAAATGCATCTAATATGCATCTAAAAACTGGTCTAAAAGATGTCTAAATTCAGGTCTAGAACGGGACATAAATAGACGTCTATCTTATAGACGTCTTTTAGATGCATTTTATTCGACACAAATAATTGCCTTAGATGCATAAAAGATGTGAAATATACATCTTCCAGATGCATATTAGATGTATAAAATACGTCTCTTAAATAGATGTCTAAGGCGCGTTTAAAAAAGATAGATAATAGATAATTTTTTAGCTAATAATAGCTCTTTTATGCATCTAATATACTTCTAATATACATCTTTAAATGTATATTTCACATCTTTTATGCATCTAAGGCATTTATTTGTGTCGAATAAAATGCATCTAAAAGACGTCTATAAGATAGACATCTATTTATGTCCCGTTCACGACGTGAATTTAGACGTCTTTTAGACCAGTTTTTAGATGCATATTAGATGCATTTTAGATATCTTTTTGTTTGCTGGGACTTGTTTGATACAAAGGTGTTACAGCGGTTAAATTAGTCATAAAAAAGGATTAAATTAAATAAGTAAAGAAACATTTTAACTAACATTACTTAATTTTTATTTCACAAAAATATACATAAACAACTATATTTCTTCATTGCCGTCAACATTTTCTTCCACGTCGCCGATATCTAAAATATATGCATTAATGACATTTAAATGACTTTAAAAGACATGTAGAATTCTGAATCTATTTTTATGAAATATTATATATATATATATATATATATATATATATATATATATATATATATATATATATATATATATATATATATATATATATATATATATATATATATATATATTCACATACAGTATCGGACAAAACCAGTGCAACCAAATGATGCTAATTTAGTTTCTTTGTATAGAAGTGCTGAATTTTTTCAATTCAGAGAAATAACTATGTAACTGTTTAGAGACAACGTGCTTCGAATTTTATTCATCGAAAATTAATAAATTAATCAAAAGTATTGCAAAAAGTTGATTTCCTTCTGGACAAAACAAGTGCAACTCCACAAAATGTTGACTAAGCTGTATTTTGCTATCAATATTTTGTGGTGAATCCTTTGTTGTCGATCACAGCCTTGCATCTTTAAGGCATAGATTCGATCAGGTGATCAATGAAACTTTCTGGAATCGCTGCCTAGGCCTTTTAAATTTGTTCAAACAGTTCATCCTTATTACGAACACATTCATGATTAACTCTGCGGTTAACAATCTCCCACAGGTTCTTGATAGGGTTGAGATCCGGAGATTGAGCCGGCCAATCCATCACCAATAGACGTGTTTGGGATCGTTGTCTTGCTGAAAAACCAATTTTTATTGGTATATTCCATTCAGCATGAGGTAACATAACATCTTTCAGGATATTTTTATACATAAAACGGTCCATTATTCCATCGATTCGATGTATAGGACCTAGACTGTTAGCAGAAAAATACCCCCAGACCATTACATTGCCTCCACCATGCTTCACGGTCTTATGGCAGTAACGTAAATCAAGGCGTTTTCCGGCCGCTTGACGTACAGGCAGCTCTAATTGCTTTTGTATCTCAACTGATGATATCCAGGGATCCTTCTTGACAGATCTGACGATCATAGAATTCTCTCTAGAAGTGGTGGAACAAGGTCTTCCACCATTGTTATCTGCTGCCAACTTCCCTGTGGAACAATATTTGGAACATAGTCTTGATACGATCTATTTTTTCACGCCATATTTATCACAAATACTTTTTTGTGACATTCCACTTGAGTAATCGCAAATAATTTTCTCTCTTAGTTCCAATCCAAGACTGTCAGGAACCATTTTTGCACTTGAAGTCATAAAAATAATAAAAACAAATAACCACACTTCTCAAGGCTTACCGTGTTACATTTACCTTGTGATGATAAAATATTGCTCTGTGGAACATAACGCCTTGGTTGGATGTGGACTGTATTGATGTAATGAAACACTTGTTGTATTTCACTTCTGGTATTGATGTTCTTCGATAAAACACTTTGATAAAACTCACTTCGATAAACTGTCTTGATAATACTGACTGATTGACTTCCATATACTGACTGAATTACATGTCTCTTATATAGTAACATAAACCTGTGTGAACCTGTTCCAGAAGATTCTAGATGCTTCTTTTCAATACTTCTGGAAGCTTCTGGATGCGTCTGAATGCTTCTGAATGTTTCTGGATACTTCTGGATGCTTCCAGATGCTTCTTCTGGAAACTTCTGGAAGCTTCTGCATGCTTCTAAAAACTTCTGGATACTTCCTTTAATAATTAAAAAACTTCCGTGACGTTGACACGGACCAGACTTGAGAAAATGAAACAAACCAAAAAAGTTGCACTTGTTTTGTATGCTGCAAAATGGCACTTGTCAACGAAATTCTGTCTGTGTGCTGTCACCTGTCAGCTGATTGCTCATATCATGGCATGCTATGACTCCAGACTCCTGAACTGTTTGCTGTGGTAGTATAGTTCATTTCATTTTCAAGACGTATAAAATTAGGAACACTTTTAAGCATTGTTTGATGTTGGTTGCAAATGTTTTGTCCAATACTTTATATACACATATATACATGTATATATATATATATATATATATATATATATATATATATATATATATATATATATATATATATATATATATATATATATATATATATAAACAAGAAGATTTGTATCTCAACCAGATACAATAATAAACAACAATTTTTTTATGAAAAAACTAAAGGAACTTGTATTATGGATACAAAAAGTCTAGCATGACACAAAAAAGTGGAAGAATATCTTTTTAATACAGATATCATTTTTGTAAATACTATTAAAATTATACCTCGTAAAACACTCCATATATTTACTAGATTTTCTAAGCTTATCTTTTCCCCATTTCCTTTTCGATTAAATTTGGACTGTAACTGATTCGAAAATAACCTGATAAATATTTTAACAATAAACTGAAATGTATTTATAAAGATTTTTATTTTAATATATGTAATAAATTAAAATATATTTTAGTATATGAATGTTTAAAATTATGAAAAGTAAAAGCATTAAATTTAAAAATAAAATGCTAAACAAGGTTTAGCATTACACTTACTTTAGCACACAAACAAACTTTAACACCTACAGTGAAGCTCCAGAGTTTATCAAATTGTCATGTTAAAAGTAAATCCATAACAAATAACAGTCAAAATGAATTGCTTTTGGTCCATTTTAATCATATTTCTAATAATTAATAAAAACATAATCATTTATATTTTCATGATCAAAAAAGCATGTTCTTTTGGCTTTCCACCACCAATCTTTTTCAAACTATCAAGCTGAAATAAATGTAATAAAAACTAGTGTAACTTAAATTTCTTTACAACATAAACATCTAACACAAGCTAGTTATTTTAGCTCATTTACAAATATTTTTCATTTAGATTCTAAATTAATAAACCAAATTTAAACAAACTTATTAAAAATTAAGATAATTAGATTATACCAAATTAGTATACTCGGTTTTATCTTTTAGTTTATTATCCAGTGTAACCACTTCGTCCACTGATTCTAGCAATTTCACCCCAGTAGCCTGAAACTTAATTTCTATAACTTATTTTAAAAGAACTTTTATTTCTGCAAGCTCGTTGAGAATAACATTTCACAGCTCTACAAACAAGAATAAAAAGATTGATTAACATATTTAGCTCATAAAACCAAATAGCAAAACAATGAAATAAGAACTTTAAAATTCAAATTATGCTTGAGTAACTCAAACTAAAATTCAAAAACACATGTAATTTTTTTTATTACTCCATCGCAGAAGTTGCCATAATATTTTGGAAAACCTACTTTTTAAATCAGCTAAAACTTTATCCTGTAAAAGGTTACGATATTAAAGAATTTTGTTTAACTACTAAAGGTAAAATGCTACACACATGATTTATCAGATCACAATATTATAAATAATCCATTTCTATTCTTTTATACCTATCTTTTACAATTATTTTAATACAAAAACAAATTAATTAAAAAAACCTCCACATTAACATTTAATGGTGTAAAAACCAAAAATACTCATATTAAAACTTGAAACTCTTTGACAATGTGAACTTTGGTTTTATTCTGTTCATCAATAAAATGTGAAAAAAAATTATCTTCTTCAATCTTTGAATCTGATAACAACTCTTTTCAAAAGAAATAATTATAATTAGAACTATAAATAATCCCTTAACCATACCTGTTACTTAATTTAATCTTTGAACCAATTTTGTACTCTTTCAATTTCTGAATTTAAACAATTTCAGCATGCTTTCAATCAATTTTCAATTTTCATATCAAACTGATTAAAGGATTATTTAATACAATAGAATGTTGTCAATCATATAAATATATGTAACCAATTTAACAACATTACATATAATAGGACACCCAAATAGTTAAAATAAAAGGAAAATCTTAGTAATACATAAAAAAGACTAATAGCTAGATAGATATTATTCAGATCAAATTAAACAAGAATCTATTTCAGTTTATAAACCATTAAGAAAAAAATATGATATTTGCGTTATACTTTTAGCATTGGGCTTATTCATAATAGGTGGCGGAGGTTCTGGCAATGAAGAGTGGTATGATTTGTTATTCTTATTTTTAATGCTTTTTTTAACATATATCTCATCTGATGTAGAAAGTTGTATTCTTCACAACATGAAAATGAATCTAATTATCAAACATTTTGCTACAAAAAAGTAATTAAGTTACCTTTAAAAAAAACACAAAACAAGTTAGATTCTGACTATCTGTTATCTTACACTCTATCAATGGAAATTTGTGCCATTCTTTTGTTAACGAAAGGTTGTTTTTCAGTGCATGATTATAGTTTTTTTTTTGGACAATAAATTTGTTGCTATTCTTTGTCAATCCACTTGTTTAGTGCATAACTACTTGGTTAGAAAAACATGCAGAAAAACTTTCCTTTAAAGTTGGGTTATGCTTATACTCATTAGGCTTTTGGTCATAAGAGTATTCATTGTACAAAATCGATGACTCATGATGGTCAAAATATTCTTTTAGATTTTCGCAAGATAAGAAATCATTTCTTTTAGAAGTTCCAACATTCGATTTTTATTTTTTATGTACTAATGAAAATTCTAGTATTTTTTAATATTCTTTTTGGGCACGTCTACTGCGTCTCTTTTCGTATGCCCTTTTTGTAAAAGACATAAATGAATCTTGGTTCCTCGATAAAAACGATAAGTGCACAACCAATAAAACAATCTTTTGTGTTATTGAAAAACATAAATATATATATATATATATATATATATATATATATATATATATATATATATATATATATATATATATCAGATATCAGAAGGTAATCCACTGTTATTTAGTGTGGTAGCCCTCTCAAAAAAAGCATGGAATTCGACTATGAATGCTTAGAAGAACCAAATTGGCCAACAATTCCAAGTGCATCTGCTGAAGTTACCAAAAAAATGCATAAATGGTGTGGCAAAATATCATATATTGTAGACCTTTTAAAACGACTTAAAATTCTTGAAGATGAAAAGATAAATAACTTAACAGCAACAACAAATAAACCAACAACAATATTCACATATGCACAAGCAACATCAATTCAGAAAAATCAATTAAAACCAAAAGAAACTGAAGTGGTAATGATGGCAAAAATTACAAACGAGTTTAATAACAAAAAAAGAATTGAAAACAACATCGTTATAAGCGGAGTTGCTGATCATACTACTTTAGACAAACAAGTTAATGAAGAAAATGATAAACAAACCATTGAAACAATATTAAAAGCAATTAAACCAGATTTTTCAATAACAAATGCAAAAAGAATAATTCGATTAACTAATAAAGCTAAAAGACCAGAAGGACCACCTGACCTTATCTTAGTTGAATTGGAGAACAAAGAAACTCAAAATTTTATAATTAAAAATTCCAAAAAGTTAAAGGACAGTACTAACTTCAAAAATATTTTTATTAATAAAGACAAAACAGCAAATGAGAGATTGTTCGAAAGTGAACTCAGAAAAGTTAGAAATACTAGAAATGCAGCACTTACTCAAGAGGTTGAGGGAACAAATGGGAGGCAACGATACAATATGCACAATGGAAAAAAATATTATTGGGGTATACGATCAGGTGAACTCAAATGGATCAAAATTAGATCAACATAATTTACATATAAAAATTAAAAGAACCTCTGCATTAAACTTGGGTATCCAAAATGTTTAATCTGCCATAAAAAAATCTGCTATCATTCATGATATAGTGCAAAATCATTCTCTAGATATTTTTATACTCACTGAAACTTGGATAAAGTCAGACGACCCTACCGCAATTAAAGAAGATATGGCCCCACCAGGCTTTAAAACAATTCAATACTGCCGATCAGACCATCGTGGAGGAGGCGTTGCGATAGTCTATAGAGACAACTTGAATATCAAGCCACTCTCATTATCATCTACCTGTCTGTCTTATGAACGTACATCAGCTAAACTAAACCTGGCAAATACTATCTACAATATTGTTGCTATTTATCGATCAAATCCAATCATTCCAACAAACATTTTCTTTTTCGAATTATCTAAAATCCTAGAGGAACTTCAAACATTATCTGGAGAAATACTTCTGTGTGGTGACTTTAACTGTCCAGGTACTACTCCCATAACCTGCAATTCAAAACTTAATGAGATTTTAGAGACCTACAACATGATACAACGAGTTCAATCTCCAACTCGCATATCATCTACTACTGATACAACGAGTTCAATCTCCAACTCGCATATCATCTACTACTACTGGTATAGCCAAATTGCTTGATCTTGTAATAAATCGACATGATGATATTTCACTCAAGAGTATCCAAGTAACTGACGAGGGTATTTCAGATCACTATATGATTCGGGTAGAACTTTATCATCAACCTTCAAATACTAAAACTGTTTGGTTTTCAAAACGAAACTTTAGAAAACTAAACTTGTCATGCTTTATAAAAAAATTGCAAGTGATGCCATGTTGCTTATCACCTGAAAACAATGTGGATGATTATGCTGAACAAATAAGATCAAATATAACAACTGTTCTTGATCATTTAGCACCCATTCGAAAATATTCAATGCGAATTGGTAAACACGATGATCAATGGTTATCTTCAGATGCCAAGAATAAAAAAATCAGGCGTCGTAAACTGGAACGTTGTTATAGAAAAACTGGTAGTTTATCAGATAAAAAATTATATCGAACTGCATGCCGTGAGGCTGCAGCAGCAATTCATGAATCCAGATGTAGTCATTATAGGGCAAAACAAAATTCAGCATACGGTGATCAAAAAGAAACATGGAACATTGCCAAGAAATTACTACATTCGAATAGTTCTAAAACTAATAACACAATACCAGAAGCAAAATGCGATATAATAAGTCAATATTTCATACGCAAACTCGAAATTATACAGAACACTATCCAGGAAAGGCTTGCAAAAACTCCAATATCTAAATTTATCTCAGAGTTATCTCCCCCTGTAGATATTTTAACCACATTTGGTACAGTCACACCTAAAGATGTGTCGAAAATAATCAAAACTCTCAAATCTAAGACATCGCCACTTGATATTATTCCAACAAACATCCTTAAATCTTGTTTAGAAATATTCAGTCCAATTATAGCTCACCTTGCTGACCTCTCATTCAAATCCGAAATTTTCCCAACCTCATATAAAGTTGCTCAAATAACGCCAATTCCCAAAAAATCAGGACTAGCAGAATTTGACCTAACAAATCTACGCCCCATATCAAATCTCAATACAATTTCGAAAATTCTTGAAAAGCTTGCTTTATCTCGTCTTCGTCCACATGTAACATCATCTGTCAACTTCAATCCTCTACAATCTGGTTTTAGATCTTATCACTCAACCGAAACAGCACTCTTAAAGATATGCAATGACATCCTGCTAAACATTGATGATGGTTTGACCACTATTCTCCTATCTCTGGACATATCTTCAGCATTTGATACAATTGATCACAGCCTGCTGATTACCAGTATTAAGAATGATTTTGGTGTCACAGATATTGCATTAAAATGGCTAACATCATACTTGCACTCTCGAAAATCTTTTGTTTCTATTGGATCATCAAATTCTAGACTAATAGCAAGTTCAACAGGAGTACCACAGGGTAGTGTATTAGGCCCATTTCTATTTTCCATTTTTGTTTCACCTATATATCGTATTATAGCTAAATTTGGTACAAATCATCATCAATATGCTGATGATACCCAACTTTATACTTTCCTCAGCCCTGGCAAAGATAGCATCAGCAAAATCACTGAGTGTGCTAATGCAGTTACAACATGGTTTCTAGAAAATGGACTTCTGCTTAATCCAAATAAAACAGAAGCTATCTTATTTGGATCTAGAAAACAAATTAGCAAATATAAAAATGATTTGAATATTGCGTTTTCTGGAACCACAATAACTACAATAAATTTAGTAAAAATCCTTGGAGTCATCCTAGATTTAAAGCTCTCTATGGACAACCACATAAACAATATTATTAAATCCTGCAATTACCACATTCGTGCACTTCGCCACATTTGTCCATGTCTGACCAAAGAAGCTGCAAACATAATTGCTTGTGGCATCGTTAACTCTCAGCTTGACTATTGTAACAGCATTTTATCTGGCACTTATCAAAAAAATATTAAAAAACTCCAACGAATTCAAAATA